GGGAGAGACGAAGAGTTTAATCCCTTACAGATGGTATTTTTATTTTTTTTTGCAAGCCTCAGATGAAAAGCCTCGCCTTTATCGCACTTTGGGATATTAATGCATTGCGGTCTCGTGGATTTGATCCAAAATTATAATACAGTAGTGACAATGCTAAATTAATGACAATTCATCTTCGATAATGCACAGCGTTGCAAATACACACTCCGGCGCAGGCTCGCGGTGCTTTTTTTTATTGCACAACGCGCACTTAATCAAACGTATAATGTGCCAAAAAAAAAAAAAAAAGCAAATAAATATTCCTTCAAGTGGGCAGGAATGAAGCGTAAAGGCATGATGGCGTGTTTACATTCTGTGGGCTGTGAGAGTGGGGACAGAGAAATGACTGCTACGGGTGGATTTCATGCCAACTCCAGAGAAAATGTTCACAGAAGATGTAATACAATAATCCAACAGGCCTTTAAAAACACAAGCTAGCATCCAAACAGAGCCGAACAGGGTAACTTCATCAATATATCATCACACTTATCTGATTTACAGTTTAAAGAAAAAGGATCCAAATCGATGCTGCACCTTTTTTTTTTTTAAAAATCTGGCATCTCGATTACCCAGAATGCAAATTTGCAGCATTCAGTAGCTGTTCCTTGACACTTATCTTGAACATTAAAATTGTATTAAGTTGGCAAAACATTGCAAATTTACCCCGCTGACAAACAACCTTCTCAGAATTCGTTAAAAGGTGTCGTGCAAAAAAAAAAACCACCAACGACAGCTGAGAGCGAATCAGCTCCGTCCCACCGCTGTCATGTGTCGTTAAAGATCCTCTCCTGTGAAAATCAACATTTTTTTTCACCTTGTTAAAACGTCCATATGGTGTTTTTTTATATGCTGGAAGGCACATCATGAGAGAAATTAGCGGCGAACGCATGGCTGAGCAGCTCCCCTCCTCCACCTCCTTCTAACTGCCATGTTCTGATAACAGTCTGAGAAACGTCGATGCGGACCTCTAGGGTTTAACCCGCGGATCCAATCCTGTCAACTTGCAGTGTGGGACTTTCTGCATCACTGTTCTGTTTTCAGTTTGACGCGTACGGTTGAATAGCTCCGGTATTAGAACTTCCTGTTGCGATAGCTTTGCAGGGTCATAGGTGAGCTGGTGTGCTCAAGCTGCGGCAAGAAGCGAACGAGTGGAGAGATGATGGATTCTAAAGGAGGCAGATTGTTTTCGTGGAAAATGCACAAATAAATACGTAATTTGAGTTTTAGGGGGGCTGCAAGGTGGAGCGGTGGTCCTCGCAGCTAGAAGGTTCGTCCCGGTGAGGACACCCGGGATCTTTCTGCATGGAGTCTCCATGTTCTCTCCGTGCAGCGTGGGTTCTCTCCGGGTTCTCCGGCTTCCTCCCACAGTCCAGAAACATGCTGAGGTTAATCAGCTGGGATAGACTCCAGCCCCCCATGACCCTAGTGAGGATTAAGGTGCATAGATGATGGATGGATGGAGTTTTACGGGTTTAATCAATGACTGGAGGGACACTTTAAGTGATCTTAAGTTGGAAGTCATGTTTGTTTGGTTAACTATTATGAAATATTTAATAAAAAACAGAATGAACAAAGATAATTTGCTTGTCTAATATGTGAATTCAGTGGACTTGCCTGGCTGCTGAACACTAATGGATTTTACTAAATATAAAAGACAACCCTTTTCTTTAAGATCCAAATAATCTTTCCAAGTGTTTTGAAGCGGTGACATTACTGTATGTGATTTTAAGAGTTAGAATGAGTCCGCAGCAGAGTCCTGAGATGCTGGAGTTGGGAGGTTCACAGTCACTGAACAAGCCTTGCTTTCTATGAAGGGAATCTAGACCAGAAAAAAAAAAAACAGCTTCGGCACATCTAATAACCAATTTGACCCTTCAAGTGAATTACCTGTCTACCCTGCAGTCAAGGTGACTGTGAACTCCGGGGTTGTTTCTGATCTTCCCCGCTAATGCCCTTCAGCTCATGTATGTTTTGGAAATTGAATCCCACCTCCCACAGGGACACAAACAGAATTTCAAAAAAAGAAGCTGGGTTAATAATATGATGTGTATACTGGGACTGGGTTTAGGAGTAATACTACAAGTAGAAATCTGTTGCCAGATTGGAAGGTTATTTAAGTCTCTGGCCTTAAAACGATTGTTCTGGTGGATTCTGGCAACTGAAAACCATGACAGCGATTTAAAGAAGAAAAAAAGGGCCAAAAATGCCACCTACAGTTCTTCCTGTTCGCTGTATTTTATTTTATTTTATTGGGTGGTGGGTAGTGTTTTGTGGTTGGTGTTTATCCCTCCAGTTGTGTTTAAGGAACTGAATGGGGCAGGGTCTTTTGTTGTATATACATATAAATACAAAAAGAGAAATAGAGCGAGACAGGGAAGAGGGGGACAGAACCCCGAAAGGCAGAAACCGAGAGCCAGAACGATATCCTTTAGTAGCCTGAATCTTCTCCGGCTTTAATTACACTATATTGATCAGAGGCGGGGAGGGAGGAACAGGAGATCGAGTGAAGAAGAGGGAGAGACAGTTGGTGAAATTGCAAGCTATCGTTACTGTAAAGCAAAATAAAACACACAAAAAACAGCAGAGCAATTACACCAAAGTCATACAGTAGATAATTAGAAAATCCTCCCAGCTCTCCATGCTTTCTCTCCACACGCCCGTTTAGCAGCGCTAATACAATAGTACAGTGAGGGTGTCAAATTCATTTAAGTCACCAGTCAGTATGCATTGTTCACATCCATCTCCCAGCTCCATGCCTGGTTGATTTGAAATTCTCTGCATCGATTTTTTTCCCTCCCTTGCGCCTTTGCTCTGCTCCTCCCTTGTAATCAACCATAATAGAATGGTCATGCATGACACTTCTGGCTTCCCTGCAACAACTCCGGCTACATGCTACAGATGCAAAAGGGGGACGGCTTCTGCAAAAAAAAAAAATTGTGCTTCTTCTCTCTTTTCTAGGTTGACCTACTTTGGCAAAAGAGCTTAGGTTCCTTTCTTTGTTTCTCGCTCTGTTGTGGCAAGGGCACAAAAAAATCTGCAAGCTTTTCCTACTGTATTCCCCTCCACGCCCACTCCCACTCCCCGATCCAGGCGGATGGTAGCTGAGTCCAGCACAGCGAAATGTGCCCGATTCAACCTCGCTGCCCCTGCAAAATCTCTCCCGGCGAGTCTCACAGAACTGTATTCCGGGGGTTAAGGAGCTTATGTCTCGTATACGACGCATGGAGAAAGAGGCTGAGCAGTGATTCGCCATGGGAGGGGGAAAAGAAGAGTGAAGCCTCTCTGTGTAGAGTGTATCTCATTATGTCTGAACTGTGTGTTACCTTTGGTAAACAGTGGGGAACATTTCTCAGGCGAGCGTCACTCTAAAAGCAGCAGGCTGGTAAACGACCGCGGCCCGATGGTGCCGCAAAGCCATTGCTCAAATCTACAGCCCCACAGGGATGCATGAGTTCAGTCATGATTAGTCAGATAGAATAAATAATCTGCGCTTATGACAGCCCTCTTCATTCCTGCGTGCGTTGAATGGATGCCCCGTCCGACTCTTTTGTGTTAGTAAATTCCCTCCAGTTATTTTTGCTGAATGACCTTCTCAATCACAAGAAAAGTCAAAAATTCAATTTCTGAACGAGGCATTCATTATCACAGCCCCTCGCGCTCAAGGGTACCTGCCCGTTTACGGAGCACTACGGCGCTCTGTGGTGGAGTCGCGCCCCGTTTTAATGGCATATTAAAGAAATACACAAATTAGAGATTCATTAAGTGGCCTGAAGGCGTTTGACACTATTAAAGTAAATAATGTCACAGCAAGAAAACGAATCATTACAGTACAAATGCTCCGTGCACTAGCCAGCGTGTGACAGGAAGTGAAGTAATTCTTTAGATTATTCCCTGGTGTTAACCCTAAAACTCAGCTGAGAAAACTCTGATTCGGTTTTCCACACAGCTACACTGATGCTTGCTGAAGACCGGAGACGCTGACGGTTCTATTTGCAGTCGTCCTACCAAGTCTATCTCCAGGCGCACTGTGACACAAGCGCCGTCGCGAGCCACGGTCTGGCGGCCCGACTTCAACACTTCCAGCCATTTTGTCGAATTGTTGTGACACTCTGCTACTCTGCGCTTATGCACGGCGAGCCTTTTCATGTGTGAAGAGCAAAACAAGAGTAATTAAATCTTCATTCCTTCACCCCAACAACCATATTCACATCTGTTAAATTGAAAACCCACACAGTGTAAAACAGATCCACTTAAGCCTATGCCCCAGTGACTCTTGTAGTAGCATCAAGAAGCAGGGGGGGAAGCTTTTGTCGGTCTTTCCGCTAACAGAATAATGGCGTCTTGTTTTCATGTTATATGACCCCCTGTGGACTCTGTAAATCAAACACTAATTACAGGGTGCAGTGACCTGACGGTTGAAATGCAACATCTAATGTCTTCCACGGCCGAGCAGACAGCTGAGTGAATCTGATGTCCAAAACAGAGCGGTTCAGCAAACCGTAAGCAGCCTGGTTAATTAAGACGTGCTGACAACTGGTGAACTCTGCACATCTTTATGGATCCGGAGCCTAATTGGAAAGAATGGTTAATGGTAAACACATTTTTCTTCGCTACTATGTACAGTAGCTTGCGAGAAACCCAAAGAAAAACCACCGACGTGTCAATTTAAAGAACTGTCTTTACAGTCAAAAAAATAAATAAATGAAAGGTCCCTCCAGAGAATTAGTAGATTCACAGCTGGATTACTCTATAAGTAAATGTTTTTTTTATCACTACTGACCCCACTTTGGTTGATTAATTTAAACGTATATTAGCATTAAAACCAAATGAACGACCAATTCATGAGATACACTGGACCAGGACACTTCCCAAGGATCTAGGGTAGGTGACCACTCTTCCTGTTTGGGTATCCAGCCTTAAATCCACTACACCACATTTCTACAGGTGGATTTATGTCTTACCTGCCCTGAACTTTGATGTCAGAAATAGCGTAGAAGTATCTGGACAGGTTGTTCTCATCCACCATGGTGGCTCCAGTGGCCGGCCGGAGCAGGCGGACTCTCAGGTCGGTAATGGTAAAGAAGTCCCTCAGGTTCTTGGTGGTGTCCAGCTGTCCGTAAAGCGAGGCCATGTTGTGGAGCCGGGGCCCGGCGAACAGCGCGAACCGGTCCTTGATCTCAAACCGCACGGTTTTGTCATACTTCCACACGTAGCCTCGAGAATACTCCTCAGTGCAGATGATGTCCAGGAGGGTGTGCTGAGTCAGGTCCTGCACCGTCTTGGGCTCCATGGTGAAGGCGTCCAGGCAGTCAGTGGCATAGAACTGGTAGGGCTGCCAGGTCCGCCCGTAGTCTAGCGACTTTTCTAGGACCATCTGTTCGGGCCGGCCTGACTCAAAGGTGAGCACGATGTCGTCAGTCAGCTCGATGGTCTTGTTCCAAGACAGCGTGATGTTGACCAGGAGGGCCTTGGGGTACTTCTTCCAGGACGTGGACTGCCAGAAGGTTGTGGGGTTACGGCCCTCAATGTCGAACATGAGCTCTGGAGGGTGGGCGAGCTCCTCGGTGCTGGCGTCACATTCATTATTACACATGTACGGGTTCTCCTGGAGGAAACAAACAGAGGCAGAGGAGGAAAGTTGTTAGCTGTAGCATTAAATAACGGGAGCAAATCAGGTCATTTTCAGGGTTGATTATCAGGAGAGCTCAGTGTAAGGATGGCATCGTTAAGTCTCATATACCACCATGTCATTAGAAGAGAATCCAGGGGATGTTTGAAGCCTTCATGAAAGGAAAACTGAATGCGAGTGAGCGTGTTATGTGCATACACAGTGTGCGTTATGAATATTTGAAGCCACTTAGCTTTATGTTACACATTTATCTTTTAAGAGTCTGCCAACATCTCTGTTAACTCTTGTCATTACAGCACCTTCCCCTGTCTCCACCGCATTGTTACACCATGTAAGTACAAATTTCATGTCATGCCACTTTCAGTCAGGAAATTAAGACGTCTGAGTTCTCCTCCTCCTCCTCCTCGCCATAAGAAGAGTGCAGCCCCGTGTGAACACAAATTCACTCGTGAAATTGTTTGATAAAATGAATATCTTCCAAAAAGAGCAGTAAAAAGCAGCCTCTTTCAGCCTCTTCAAATATCTGCAGTTACCTTGAACTACTCTTTCCAGATTGGATTGCTTCATTAACACATTATATTCACTCTGTAAAACATGCACCCGAACCTTTTTGAGGATTTAATTATTTTCATCAAATTCATTCAGAGAAATATACGCCTTTGTTGTTTGTCCCTCACGCCAGAATTTCACTTGTGTGTGTGATTTTTTTTTTTTGTGGGTTTCCTCACAAGCTTTAAATTCATCAAGCCCTTTGCTTGAGAGAGGTCTTTCCAAAAACATTTGTCCGATTTACCACAAATCATTACCAGGCAATGTTCTCTCTCCTTGCTCCCTTGGGGCTCGATCTCACTGTCAGGGGGAGGAGGCACTCCTCCAAGAGGACCTTTCAAGTGCTACAAGCTCCAATTTATCAGGACAAGATAATCCACTACTTGATTAGGTGGGAGATGTCACACTGTGTGTATGCGTGTGTGTGTGTGTGCGCGTGGAAGTGAGTGTGGCGGCGGTGTGGTGAGGAAACAGGGAGAGGAGCAGGCCACTGATGTAAGGCAGTCTAATGAAGCAGCGAGGCAGAGATCGAGTAAGTTAGAGGGAGAAACAGCTCCATTCGGCTAATAAGCTTTGCAAGTTTTTTGTCGTCCTCCAAGGCAAGGTGACAATGAAACAGGGCTCTGTCAGGCCTTCTGACTGTTGGAGGGCCCCATTAATATCCTGTCTGGACCATCCCCTACAGGCTTCTCTCAGCACTGGACAGCGATAGCCGAGAGGAGACGGCGGAGGAAGAAGGCAGACTGGCAGTGGAAAATTCCACTTGGGTTTTAGTATACCATCTCATGGCGGGAGGTTAGGTGTGCCATTAACGGCAGCATCTGGTGCACCGTGCATCCACAGACAGATGTGTAATAACTCATAGGCGACAGTTATGCGTGCTGAGGGGGCGTGGGCAGTCTCTAAAAAACACACTTGGCATGCAGGATGCTCGACGGTGTTGCTGTTGCTGGTTGGGAATGTGTATTCATTTAGGGGCGACCTGAAGCGATTATTTAGTGACGGTGCAGGAATCTGCTCTGAACACATGCACCTGGGAGGAGAGAGAACATTCATTATGGTGGGTCATCCTGTGTTTACATCACACCTTAATAACTGGACTACTTTTAGTGCTTTTTTATGATCAGGGTTTGTCTTTTAAAACGGTGCCCTTACATGTTTTATATTTTACTGAATATCACCAAGACATTCACATGTTGATTAATACTTTGCCTTGAAATGAGGTTTTCAGTTACTGAGCAATTAAGTAGATCCTCTCACATGTACAGGTTCTTCTCTTTTAATCACTACATATGCTTGACTAGAAACGGACGTCCTTCATTCAAACCCTCAGTGAAGCGCAGACACATTATTATCTGCAGAATTCAGTATCAAAAGCCCTGAAAACACGTCTCACCATACATATGCTATCCTATTGGTTTTAGCAGACGACAGCCTCCCCTCATCCTGCCTTCTTTTTACTGGCTCCCTCCTCATTTGAGAATTAATTTTACGATTTAACTGATCACCTTTAAAGGACATCTGGCCCCCAGCTATAGCACAAATGTGGAGCCCATACGAGCCACCTCGGATACTCAGCCGGGGCCCTTCTGGCTGCTCCAAAGTCAAGGTTTCAATCTAGAGGTGACGTTTCAGCTTTGGGACGAGCTGCCCGAGGAGATAGGGCTCGCTTCTTAAAACCCTTCTTTTTAGTGTAATGTGATCTTCTTGCTGCTTATTAGGATTTTAATTACTTTTATTATGTTATTTGGTTGTATTAACATCACCATTTCTTAAGTTCACCTCGCTTTGTCTGGATTCCTGTTGTTCTTTTGCCTGCTGGGTATCCTGATTTTGCTTCATCTGTCAAAAGCGCTTCTTGCTAATAAAAGTGCTAAACAAATAAAGTCATTATTCTGATGCATAAATATGTAGGCTGCATATACGCGAGTCAGCGTGGAGCCTGTTTCGGGTCGTCAGGAATTTAAACTTTGACAGTTGCTCGTGAGTTTTGTACATAAACTGTGGAGCCGTAAACGCCACAAAACTGAAAATCAAAACTGCGCTAAACTTCCCATCAGCCACCAGTGTGGGTTTAAACAAACACCTCTACCCCAAACCCCCAGCTGTAGCTTCTGTTTAGCCTGAAGAGTAAAAAAAAAAAAAGAGCCAAACAATCCTGCGGGCGTCTTCACGAGAGCAATTGAATCATCTCCGAGGTCAACCCATTTGTTCCTTTACGTCTAAAAAAAGGCAGATCCGGCGGTCGGCTATTACTGTAACACCCACACACACACACACACACACGCTGCTGTCCTCACCAGCACATCTCTGTAATCAGACAAAGATGTATCCCTATCGATCCCTGTGGTCGGGCAGCTGAAAATCTGCTGCGTGTAGCACCTGGCAGCCCGGGCCAGTGGTCCAGCGATCCCCCCGAACACACAGGTTAAAAACCTTTCATTACTGTCTCCTCCGCTTCTCGCCTAACGACAAAATACTGCCTTTATGGAGATCAATAACCCCACCGGTCTGCCAGAGAAGAGCAAGGAGATAAAACGCTGAGTATACGGCCTCATGAAAATCAATGACAGATTTCTGTATTTTACTGTAGGGCACCATCGAGGGCCTCCGCGAGCGAATTAATGGTTTGGCACATATTAAAACAATTGACAGCAGCCGGCACGACAACAGCAGCATTTCTGTAATTACAAAAGATGTTTCTATTAATCCCAGTGTGATGGTAAGTGGGCGGGATGGAGGGGTGGGAGGGGGGCAGCAGATTACAAAAGCCAGCGCCGAGTTCGCTGGAGCGGATAGGTCACGCCAAATTGGCGCTAATAGAGATGCCGTCGTCCCACCCAAAACACACCGGCTTAATCCGATTATTAGCATTGTGATGCAGCGAGATAGTGTGGGAGAGCGAGTGTGTGTGTGTGTGTGTGTGTGTGTGTGTGTGTGCGGGCAGGTGGGTGTTCATATAGCAGCAAGTACACAGTTGTGGGTGGATTTCACAAATGATCAGGAAGCTGCTCTAAATTCCTTTGGCGTTGTCCCCATTATTGTCAAACTGTTCAGGCTAATTTAACCAACTGACTAGAGGAATAAAAATCAGCAGGGCTGCAACATAGAGGATAATGAATTAGACTAATCTAATTCAGCTGCACTCCACAGACCAGCAGTATTTGCGGCGTTTAGGTCACGGCAAGTGTTTTTTCCTCTTGTTTTGTCAAAGCTTTCAGACGCGGCGTCGGAATAATTTGCTTGACGCGCTCACAGAGGTAACACTTGATATCGGCGCTTTGAGGCAATTTAGCTTTCAAATGAGGCACGATTTGGGCAATTTGCTGCGACTGTGTAACCGCTACGATTTCATGTACGACGATCAGTCATTTAAACAATTACAACGGTTAAGTTAAAAAATATTCTCCTCTTAAATTAAACCAAAAGAAAAGGCTCCTCGAGGAAAAAAAAAATCTTCTTTTTATGCAAATTCTAATATTTTGGGATGCGCTGCTTGACTCGAACATGCGAATAAACACTTCCTGGAAAACATCTCGTTGTGACTCGAGGTGTTTCGACAGAACTTTAACCTCGGTTTTAAAAAGCAGAATTTTCTTCATCGCTTATTTTATTTGCAGCCACAATGAGCAGACGCACTGCGAGGACACAAAAGACGAGCAGAGCAGATAAGTTGGTGAGGTTTTGACTGGGTCTGGTTTTAAAATAAGATACGACCGTGGCGGCTGACAGCCTTGGCCCGGCCACACAGTAGCCACTGATGGAGGATGGGACTTGGGGGAATATAAATTTACTAACTGCAGACAAGCCATCTAGATAGATGTGCTCACACCAATCAAACCAATCCGCTTGTGTGACAGATGTCTTGGACTTGGAACCGAGATAGCAAATTGAATCCACACTCCATCTTTCTACCTCGCCCTCCTTTCTTTCTCTTGCCTGCAGCTCTTTTGTTTCTTGTTCTAACGCGCTTCGTTTCAGAAGTGATCACCATCTAAAAGAAATAAATTAGTTGTAACATGTGATTTGATCTTGTGTGTTTTTACTTTAAGACATCTTTTTTTTTTTTTTTTAAAGGGAGCTTCTTAAAGGACTGACACCGTGCCGAACAAACACTTTGATTTAAATAACAAGCTTTTTATATCGACTCTATTTATAAGACATTTCCATCCGCTCGACAGACTTCCTTCCTGGAAACGCTGGAGCAGGACCTGGAGTGGATTAAAAGAGCGCCGGGATCGAGATTCTGAGCGTCAAAGTGCTCCAAATCAATACCGGGGCCCCTTTTCCACAGTTTAACTACGTCATGTAAGTTTTATTATTCTGTCGATACATAACAAGAGGCAAACTGGAAATTAATTAAAGCTACAAACCATTTGGAGCAACACTCATGTAATTGCTGCGGCAGTCAGAAGGAACCATCAGAT